GTCAACAAACTTTTGTGGGTATTAGTTGTCTCGTAGGCATTTTGGCACGTTCATCAATTCTTCTTCCAGCTTATCAGTGGTACATATCTTTTCTGCCCTACAAAATAGTGTTTTAACTAGTGCCTTCTTGTAGCTGAGTGGACAAAAACTATTGAAATTCAGGTAAAGGCCATTCCAAGTACCTTTTCGATAAACCGAACGTTGAACTGTCCCGTCTCTCCTACGTTTTATAGCAACATCAAGAATGTGGAACATGTCATTCTGTTCGTATTCCATAGTAAATTGTATTTTAGGATGTGCACTGTTGAAGAGTTCTAGCAGACGTATTGCATGCTGTTTATTGCTGCAGACAATGAACGTATCATCAACATATCTGGAATATTCCGTCGTTTCGCTAATCGCCTGATTAAGCACCACGTTTTCAAGATACCCCATAAAAATATCTGCCAGAATTGGACCTAGTTGGTTGCTACACCGTCGATTTGACGATATATGGTGTTATTAAACTGGAATTGGACGTATGTTGTGCACATTAATAGTAGTTTTTTTTTAATTCTGGGGCTGGTAAATGTAAGAGATCATAATTCTGACAAATTATATCAATGCTTTCAAGAAGTGGTATATTAGTGAGCAAGGATATGACATCAAAAGAAACCATGAACTTATCGGCAACATTCGTACGATTTAGTTTATCAGCAAACTGGAATAAACCTTTTAACGTATGTGTTGCTAATCTCCAACGAATCGGCTCTAGTTTTGCTGCTAACCACCGTGCGACTTTATGATATGGTGAGTTGATCATTGATAGGATAGGTCTAAGGGGAACGTCATGTTTGTGAACTTTTGGTAAACCATACATATGTGGTAGGCGTGAACCACGTGGTCTTAGGTCATTGTAAGTAGAATTATCAATCATTTTCTTTTTTAGGAGTTCTCTAAGCATGCCTGTGACTCGTTTTCTGTTGAATCAGTCAAATTTTTTTGGATTTATCTACCTTGAACCTCAGTTGATCATCGAGGATTGACTTCATCTTAGTGATATAATAAGCTGTATTCATTAGGACGACACCTGAATCTTTATCTGGCCGTAAAATCATCACCTCAATGAAACATTTACTATTATTGTCTTACTATAAACTGGTTTATTATCAATAATCTCAACAAAGTATTACCAGTTCTTTTTCCCTTTACTTGGATGCTATACTATATTCATCTGGCGACTAATAATTAGTTTCCCTAGTCAATCTTTATTCAAACGAAACTAATTAATGATTGAATGATGTAATCAATTATTCATTTATTGGTACTATATATGTACGTATCATAGAAAACCATTCTATTTATCTTTTCTTAATGATTTCATATGATATATTGTATCTTCTTAGTTTTTAATGATCAAATACAGTGAATGATGAGCAAATAATGTGACAGTTTATTATTACATATGACAAACTTGATTCTTCTACCATTCAAAGTTTAGTTTTAAGGGTAATTCTAATCGATGTTTGATTGATTTAGATTCGAAGAGTGAGACAAATAAACTTCATGAACTAGGATAAACTAAAGAGTTAGGAAAATCTAAGAATTATGCTTAGTTCATGTCTGAATATTTCTACTAATCCACACTTATCGTTTCATGTAGTAACGAATATAGTACCTACAAATCATATAGAGAAGTAATTCTTACCAATATTATTAGAATGACAACTGTATTACACATAGAGCTATTTAAATGCATTGTGCCTCAGTTCATACACATTAAAAAATTTGAGGTACTTAAGTTTCACCCATTATTGTCTGGTTAGTGAACTGTGCTATGAAATTCATAGCACGTATACTGAGCTATTCACTTTTCACTGATGTCTTTTTCTTGTTTAAAATTACTCTTTAATAAGTTCGTCAATAATTATAATTCTGAAACAGATTCTCTTGACTGTGTAAAGATAGTCATGTTGTTGTTCACTGTATATCGCATATTGTATTATCTTTATAAGAATATCATTGTGTACAGTTCTGTAATAACCTTAAATTAGTAAAATGGATTATAAAAGCAAATTATGTCATGTATTTGGTGAGACTATAATTTATGGACGAAACAATCAGATTGGGGATAACTGGTTTTGAATTTCGGTGCGAAATTCATTTATCTATTTGACTAGATAAAGTTTTGGAGTTCTAGATGATGTCAATTTGTGACGGAAACCATAAATCTAATTCCTAACCTTAACCATCAACTGTAAATCATAACCCTTATTCTCCACACTGTTTTATAACCCCTATTTAGCCCTAGTGAGTAGGGGGATGTTCTCAAGATTAGTTTAGCGTTGCTCAATGGTCGTCCATAAATTATAGTCTTACTAGTTACTTCGATATAATCACATCACTTGAGATTTTTTATTTTAAACTGATTTCTTAACAAGAACATTACTATCCATACGAAAGTCATAAAAAACAACTTAATAAAGTACTTTGCAATTGTCTCATAATGTAAATTTCAGGTCGTCTCTTGAAATAAATTTAATATAAATATTCATTGATTCATTCAATCTTTCATGATATCATATGGACCACAGATAAGAATTCCATTTTGTATCACACTAACTCAGTTAATCAGTTAATCGTATCCCATGGACTGGCCTATACGGTAGTGATCACATTTTTGTTTTTAACTACTCTAACTAGTATATTTCTGCAATAACGTCCTTTGTGTTATACGTTCATCAAAGCAACAATAGTACCTTGATACAACGAAGGGGTAAACCTGTTTAGGTGCTGGATGCTGAGTGTAACTTCGAAGTAAGATGTTGGTTGCACCATTTACGTCTCACTCGATTAGCCCCCTCCTCAATCATTATTATTATTCTTTGATTTCTCGCTAATTAGTATCAAACACCCATTGAATAAGTTTTCGTTCAAGTTGAAAATGTACTTATTAAGTAGCTCGAATTAAGTAGTAAATAAAATTTAAATGCATTAAAAGCATTATCTGCCGAGCTACATTATAGTCTTCAATAGAAGAGAAAGGCAGAAATGATTTCTATGTTGTTATTTGTATTTAGCTTTGTTTTTTTATTACTTATGAGTTTAATTTTCTAGTGAATCTTTCTATCTCTAAATTGGTAGTATAGAATTTTTGTTGGGATCATGAATATATTTCTAGTTGAAATGACGAACTTGATTTAACTTTGTGATCATCAACCATTCTTATCAGTGATACATATTTGACGCCGAACATAGCTGAACTTCATTGTTTGCAGTTTATTAAGAAAAAAATCTCATGAATTTTTAAAAAGGTGCTGAAACCATTGGAGTTTCACTAGGTCGAACTTAAGATGGCCAATGAACGATATTAATACAATAATCCGAATAGACTGAATTTAGAAATGTGAACAAGTGAATTCTAATAATTTGAAGGTAATATACTCATCATGTACCTGAAAGTTGTAGATCATTAAGGTAGAGAGACTTTACAATAGTACAAAATAGTTATCTTTGATTTTTTAAAAATTTATAAACAAATTGGATGTATTTTCTTGGTGTTCTAGAAAGATTAAAAATCTTTTACATCATTGTATCGCTTTATAACTGATCATTCATTTGCTAAGTTATCCACGACCTATATAGCAAGTATCCATACTTATTAGATTTCCTAGGAATATAGAGGATTTAAATGAATAATGAAATGAAAAGTCTGATGACATATAAACTTACTATAGTTTAATGTTGACATTACCAGTCAAAGAAGAATGTTTAGCGTATCAATGTTATACCCATTGATTTCTAGTCATTCATTCGTTAGTTCATTGAGTAATGATAATTTATTACGTTTTGGAATCTCTAAATGTTATAACCAATTCAAATGTTTCTATGAACCCAATTATATTACTCTGATTACTTAAGTAAGTAAGCTTACTAGAGATACTCACTATATTTTGGAACATTATTCTTCAATATTAACTAAATGATCAATAATGACATCAAGGAACATTTTCTTTGTAAATTTAGTTGAAACCAGACATTGAATCCACGTAGAAATATGTTTCCAATCTATCCAAGAATATATGATCAATATTTAGTTTTCTTCGTATAATATACAGAAGGAGATATATGATCCCGAGTAAACGTAACATATTTTCAATAAGACATTTCTATAATCTTCTTGACTATATATTATCTATTCACCAAATAAAAATAACTCCTCATATTCTGATAATCAATAGCTTACTGACTTATAATTAGATTCATTTTGTTAACGTCTAAATGCCCTGGTACGATCAAGGGTGAGGACAGTTATCCCCCCCTCTCCGAATGCTCTCACGTGGTAACGGGTATACAGCCACTACCAGAGAATTCCTACTCACTGCCTTCTCATGGTATTAATGTTGTTTACGAAATTTGGAGAATGAAAAGTGAATGTCCGGTGGTTTAAACTGTGGTGTAAATGGGCTCCAATATTCTGAAGGAACAACTGGCATACGAATCAATCGTTGGTTACCGGCTACCATCGGAATGCATTTCTCTACGATTCTTTACTGCTTTATGGATTAGACCTTTAAGTCAATGGCTCCAGATGTGGTTCCTCAAGAAAAACATCCGTTTCGGTTTGCGCGCCCGGGCAGCATAAAAGTCCACATAAATCAAATGACTTTTGTGACGCATATGTATTCATTGCCTCTTTGTACCAATATTTATGTATTAAAATAAAATAAATTAATTAATAACAATTTCAATAGTTGAAATCATGAATCAATTAAAGCTAGATCACCATAGAAAACCTGGAAGCAATTGACGGCCGTTCTGTCTTATTGTGGGCCTCCTCAGCAGTGTACATAACACTAAAAACAATATATAGACTGTTAGCTAATGCCTAGTTACAGAAAGAAACAAATTATTTATATAGAAAACGTGTGATTTACTTTCATCAGTTAAATAAGACCAATCCTAAACACTTTAGTTTACATCATGAATCTATATTAATTAAAGAAATACTTCACACTTACCTCACTTCCTAATTCTTCAGAAAATACACTATAGATGAATTCACGTAAAAAATTGTCCAATTCTGAACCTTCAATATAACCATTACCTATTGAATTTTAAATAGAAAAATACAAGAGAATTGTAATGAATTAACTTTCTTTTTATTTAACTTAATCACTTCAATTAAAGTAGCTTATACAATTCGTAAAAATCTACATTGATTTCTTCAATATCAGTAACAATAAAAGCACTTGGCATTTTTGAGTTGAATCCAGAGCTATGCATAGAAAAGAAGTACATTTTATTCTGGGTTCGGGTCACTCAGTGAACATCAACCCGAATAGGACGAAACACGCGTCATCTCTACTTGTAAAAATCTATTCAACTAATATGTTTGTAATCAATTGACATTATAATGTAAAGTCTGTCCAATGATCCATAGGTTATATACTTAGTTCATTTATGCTGCCAAAAAGAATAAATAGCATATTTTCATTTATTAAAATATTCAAAACATTATTTTGTCTTGCGTTTAGTACATATTTATTAAACACAAATAGTCACATAACACGTTCATTTGTTCTATGTTTAACAAACTCAAAATTAGTTAACTCATATAAATGGATTTGCTTATTTATCCTCTGAAGAAGTAGCTTACACTAAGTTACGAAACGTCAGAAAATCTAATTTTTTTTCTCTTCATTGGGATATTACACATATACTGATATATTTATAACGCATATCAAGTTAAAATTCAGCTAAACAAAACAGTTAATAGAAATGTAAGTGTTTGTGATGAGCATTTGGGACAACGTTTTACAATGAACAATATTTAATAACGAATTGATTTTCAAACGTTTACTTCTATTCGAAATTACAGTTTACGATAATTTTATAAGCACCAATGCTAAGTTTGTACTTGATTGTTTTAAATAAATTAAGCATTGGGTACAAAGATCTAGTGAGAATCCGTGACAGACATCTATCGCAGTTAATGGATGATGGTTGTGTAATTTAGTGGATTGGTTGAAGTTAGACATTAACACCGATGGATACCGGTTCAATGGTCTACAGGTTAAGCGTTTGCGCGTAAGATCCAGGGTCCTTGGTTCGAGTCCTTTCCTCGGGATTGTGGATGCCCGCTGATGAAAAGTCTCATACTGGGACCAAACGGTCGTCCAGTGTTTCCAGGTTTTCAGTGATGGTTTAACATTGATGCATTCATGATATCAATCAAGGACTTAAAAATCTCCACAACTCCATACTGTTAAATATATATCTTTTGTTATATCTCAATGAGTTGAAAAATTCTATTGTATCAAACGTTTTGTGATTTAATATTATTCTGAAAGTTTTTTCCCAATTATACTAAGTGGTGAGTAGCTTAAGCGTTTCATATAATGCTTAATTCCTCTGGCCTCAATAGGAAAGGACTGACTGATCACCCAATTTGGATTGTTTATCCAAACAACAACATGTGACCTTATTTATTTTCCACAAGATCTACATACAAACCCAATTTAAACCCTATTACTTCATATCACAATGCACAGTTTAATACAATTGTGGTGTGTGCTACTTATATCGACTGATATAAGTAGTATATAACACTAGTCAGTAATAGAATGTCTAGCAGCAAAAGGTTAAAAATATCAAAGAAAATAAAGCGAGAACAGTAAATGATTGCTGCGGAAATAAAGGAACAGTCAAGTTTGAGACAATTGATTGATATTTTGCAAACGAAGTATTTATTGCACGATTCTCAGATTTTACTAAAATATTCTGTAATTTTGTGCTCAAATACATTCGATTGTCTCCGCTTGTGTGCCCAATTGTTACACAGTAACATGTCACACAAATTCTTCTTGATCAAGAATAACTTATCACTGACATATTCAGATTCAATTATAATTTTGAGTTCAGCTATTTGTTTACTCCGGAGAAGTGGCTTACATTTAGTCTCGAAACCACAAGAAAAATAAAGGAAAGATACAATTTTTTCTACTCATTAGGATTACACACATATACAAACACAAAAAATAATATATTTATTATCAATTTACAATGATGTTTCCCCTTCTCCATCCTCCCTTTCATTCAATGTAACATTTTAAACAACAACAATCATAACAACAAAAAAACAATAGAATAATCTACACTAAACTCTATTAATATTAAGCCAATTTAATTCACTTGATCATTTCGTAACTCAAATTCAATTTATTCATCATTGATAATATTTGTTTGATTGTACTAAATTACATCACTCATTCTTCTTCTTCTTTTTTTTCTTTTTTCTTCTTTTTTTCTTCTATTTTTTCACAACTAGTTCATAAGTTCATTATATAACATTCTAGTTTTGTTTACAATTTTTCATTAATATAAACAATAATTTTATTTATTTTCTAAACATCTGCTTTTACTTGGTTTTTTTCTTCTCGTTGCTCTATTTATTTGTTTATTTATTTATTTATCTTGCTTTCGTTTCCAATCTTAAGGTTAATAGAACAGAATAATAATAATAATAATAATAATAATAATAATAATAATAATAATAATAGGATATTTAAAAGTGTAAATATTCATATTGTTCGAAATTGTAATAGAGCAGTTTTTCAAGTACTTAGAAAATACAAGTATAAGTTTGTAGAGATGATTAAGTTTGTGATTAATATCATGAATAGATCAATGGTAATCCATCATTGAAAATCTAGGAACTTTAGATGGTCGTTTCGTTCTAATTTGGGATTCGTGAGTAGTAAGCATCCACAATCCCGCATATAGCACTGGAACATAGAAACTTTTGCGTCACACGCGAACACTTAGCCTCTAGGTCAATGAGCCAGTATTCAACTGTTTTATTATCTAATTTCAATCAATCAATGAAATCACACGACCATCTTCCATTGTTTTCAGTGAGTAACTACCTCACAACAGACACCGTTTGATGCTAGCTCGATGATCTACAGGTTAAGCGTTAGTGTACAAGATCAAGGGTCTTGAATTCAAGTCCCTTGTCTGAGATTATGGATATGCACTGCTCATGAGTCCCATACTAGGACGAAACGGCCGTCTATTTCTTCCACATTTTCAATATTGGTCTAACGTTGACCTACTCATCATATCAATCTAAACTTAAAAAAATACTCTCTATATGTGTATAAATATACGCATAATTTATCGGATTATCACAATGACATGTTAATTACTTATACAAGGGCGTAGTATTATAAATGAAAATACAGTTATTTGTTGAGTTAATTAAGCATATGTACATGGGTTATAGTATTTAAATGGGAAAATGTAATTTCATACAAATTTATTATTATTATTGATATCAATGTGTGATCATTGAACATTATTTGTTTCAGTACTTTGATTCAATTATTCATTAGTTCATTGTAATACATACCTACCTCATTATGTGTTCTAATAATCACAAGTTAACCTGTCTTTATAATACACTGAATCAGATATGATAAAACATATAGAATTGGTAACATGATTACCGGTACTTATTCTAATTAAATATAAATATTATTCATGTAAAATGTAGTTAGTTGAAAATACTGAAAAAGATTAGTTTCATGCACAAACCTATATTAATTTACTGTAATAAAAGTAATTAAAACCATATGGGGTTTTTGTGGATATTATAGTGATTTTAATAGTTAAGATTATGAGTCAATTGAAGCTAAACCACCATCGAAAACCTGAAAGTACTAGACTCCTCTGCAGTGCATATCCAGGGTTCCATCTCGCGCGATTCGAACCCAGAACCTATGCTCACCAGTGACTGGCTTCAAGAAGTATTTCTTAGAATTCTATTGAGAAGCAGTGACCAGTGGAGTTCAACCGGGTCTGTTGTGAGATAATAACTCACTGAAGATAAAAGTAATCATTAAAACAATTCTCATTTGATCACCCATCTTCTATGATTATAAATATTATTCATGTATTCAGGTTTATTTTTCTTTGGAAAATGAACACAAATAAAGATTTTCATCTACTTACGATTGACTGATCACTGGGTGATGATCAATGTCATGTGTGTTAGATCTTTTTTTAGTGTAGATCAAATACTATCGACTACGATTTAATCAGAGTCACATACGTTGATTCTATTTAGTTATGTTCTTGTCAATTGTTTATAAGCTCTATTACTTATATAAATATATTTGGTTGAATTTTGATATAATCACAAAAAAGAAGTCCATGAATTTATGGCACTGACTAAATCTTGCTATTTAAGATAAATGACTTCCTCTCACTTATGTATGTATAAAAAGCACATGGATAAAACAACATTTTTTTCAGTTAGCTATTGAATATATGGTGTCCCCATGATTATAAGTATACGGTTCCTGTAAATTTATGTAAGATAAACTTCGGATAGTTAAGTTGTTTTTTCATTAGTGTTAAATGCCAATCATTATATGTTTTGTGGAGTAGCAATGACTTGATTGTTGTGTGAGCTACTTATATCCACATAAGTAGCATATAATAATGGTCAGTCATAGTATGTATTTCAGTGGAAGATCGAGAGGGAAAGAACGAGAATGAAGAGCAATTGGTATGAAAATGTATGAACAATGAAATCTGCGACTATTGACTGATATTCACAAAAGGAACAGTCAATCGGCTGATATTTTGCAAATTAACTATTTACTGTAGGGTTCTCAGATTTTAGTGAGATGTTCGTTAACTTTGAGTGGTATTAAATTCTGTTGTCCCCACTCGTGTTCTTGTTCACTACAGAAAAGTCGTAAAATCTGTGATGTTTACCATGGGATTTCTCTGTTTCTACCCATACAGTTTTATTCACAAAAAATTACTTCTGGTTAGCTTACTCGTTAATCAATTAACTAATTTATCTCACAGCTGACCCGGTTGAACTCCGCTGTTTACTGCTTCTCACTAGAACTCACGGATATACATATTGAAGCCAGTCACTAGTGAGTATATGTTGATTAGTATCTGCGAAGCAGTGGCCAGTAAAATTCAATCAGTTCAGTTGTGAGATAGTAACTCACTGATGACAATGGTGAATGTGTCTCTCAATTTTGTGGATTAATGGAAGTTGGACATTAACACCGTTGAATGCCG